AGCTTGACATGTTTTTTGTATCTATGTTTTATAGACGGTTTAAATTTTCTAAGACTTTGAATAAAGATAATTCATCAACCACACAACCAAATTCGATGAAAATTTTTTTTTTTATTCTACATGTTCTGTAGATTCAAAATAAAAAAAAATTTATCGAATTTTAATGGGTGTTGTCGGGTTATTTCCACTCAAAGATATAAAAATATCTTCTAAAAGAAAATTTGGGGTGCTCATGTCGATCATTGCTGTGCCGATAAGGCGATTAAGTCACGTGTTGCTGTGTCCGTAGCAATTCCCATTATAAATACTATAAATACATCATTCGTTTAATGACGTTTAAAAAAGAAATCATTAACGTAAACAAAACCTTTTTAAAAAAAGCTTTTATCACATGATGAAACTACATACGTATTGTAGTTAAAAACTGTTAAAATAAACAAGATATAATTAATATTAATTAAAATTAAACTATTGATATTAAATTGCGAAAAAGTCAAACTATTATCAGTTGTAGAACCAATATCAAAACAAATAATTTAACTTATTTCATGTGATCAAAAAATCACGAGAAATCAGCCGATCTAGAGAATTTTAAAGAGTTCGATAAGTTATAGTTATTGATTCGGAAATTTTTGAAATCACAAAGTCACACCTTTTTGCAAACTGCCATAATAATATTTATAATAAATCTAATTCTGGTGGTCGGCCTCGAGTAGAAGTATTGGATGCTTATATTATAGAGTCAAAGAAATCGACTTACTTACAATTATTGCGCTTTGCAAACACAGATTTATTGCAATTGCAATCGCAATCATTATAAAAAAATTATTAATAATAAGGATCTCATAATTTTTGCAAAGCGCAATAATTGTATTGACTTTGGGTGTTCTCAAGCACCTACCTCAATGGACTCAAAGTTTAATCAAACTAGCCAATCAGATTTTTTATTGAATTCATTGAGGTGGGTGCTTGAGAACACCCTTTATGACCAAATTGTGGATGTAATGGCTTTCAGAAATTCAAATATTGCGGAAAAAAATTTAACAGAAGAATTACGTAAATGCGCTAATATATGACAACAGACCGGTTAATTTATCTTCAGAAGATGATATATTTATCCAAATGACATATTCGATGATGAAGAGTCTTTATTATGAATTTAATAACACAAATCGTGTTGTGAAAAGTTTTTGAAGCATCGAATATTGTTAACGAAGTCTTAGTGATTGAGAGCGACAATAATTAGCTTCTTTTTTTTTTAAAAAAAAAAACTATGCTCAATAAATTTTTTACAGTTTCTTAGTTTATCGATTTATATTTTGATAGTTTAAGATTCAAAAATATAAAGTAATGTGCAAAATTTTGGCGATACCATCTTCGAAATGGAGTTAAATATTGATTATCAATACTGCAATACATCAAAATTAGTTCTCTTTATTCTGAGTCAATAGTGATGCAAACTACTGGCTCCGCTCGGCTAACTGCTGCTATAACAGAGCCGAGCCGTATTTTAACTAAACCGTTTTTAGCTGAACCATTTTTTATCTAGCCGTTCTAAATTGGTATTGTTATAGAAATTTTATTTTCAATTGAATTCAGCGTTAATACATGTACAGAGATTTCAGTAATTAATAATTTGTAAATGTGCAAAGCAACGATAGTATAGAAACATATTATATAAAAAAATTTTTTTTAAAAACATTTTTTTGAAAAAACATTTTTTTGAAAAAAAAACTTTAAAAAATGAAAATCGGATTTTTTAAAAAGGATCAGTTTCGAAACTTAATGCCATGAGCCAGTACAAATAAGAGCTTGTATACGCTTTTTTCAGAAAGGCATACGTGTTTAGCCTGAACTGTGCACCTACCTTTAAAAATATTTGTTAGAAGGCCTGAATTTCGAGGAAACCTTGGCCATTCGGGACATACCGGCTCCACGTTAGCTGAGCCGTTAGTTAGCCGAGCTATTAAATAGCTCAGCTAAGTCTATCGGTTTATGGCTCTGCAGAGCCGTTTTACATCACTAATTCTCAATCAATCTCATTAATTTTTCATAAAAAAAAAACAAAAAAATACAGTAATACTATAATAAATATGATAAATTTTTAAATCATTAAGCCTTACATTATGATGAATGTTTGAACGTACTAAAGAATCTAAACCCTTAACGTAACTCTAAGTTTAAATATTGAGCTACTCATGCCTTCAAAATCCTTTATATTGGCAAGTTTCATTTAATTAAGCAAACTGGAAACACGCACCAAGCAATCAAACAAATCAATATAAACTTTAAAATATTTCGCGTATGACACTGTTATACTGTATCTCATAGTAAGTGGTCAAGTGAAGATTCAATATGGATATGGTTTTTTTTCAATAAATTATTATAAGATTATTCGATCATCAACAAGATCATGTTAAACGAAAAATTTGATAAAGTTTATGAAAAAAAAAATAAAAAATTCTGGTTTGTTTTTCTGAAGAGTAATTCTGTAATTTATGAATAAAATTAATATAGCGATAAGCAATTTAATTTTTTCTAATCCAATCAATGATTTGGCAATTCTTCGAGCAAAATAAACTTTCTGCTCGAAAAATTGTACTATGTACAATATGATGTGGATACATAGCTAAATAAGTAAGTTTAAAATTTCTTGCTTTAAAGTTACTGTATGTAACGAAACATTTATGAATAATAAAAGCGTATATATAAATTTTATACCTTTGTCACGTAACATTAGTATAAAATTGGGTCTTAGACTTTTTTAATAAATGTTGGTTGGAATTTATAGGTTTCCTAAATTGGCAGTCAATACTATGTATTAATTACTAGATTTAGGAGTCGTCTAAAGCCAGATTGTAATTTATATACATCATGTGATTTTAATTTACAGGTATCAATTTAAAAATTATATACCTGGCTTTAGACGACCTCTAGATTTAGTTATTTATAATTAGTATATATTGTAATTACCTTAATTCTAACGGGTTAAAATTCGGGTAGATATGCCTCTTACAGCGGTTCAGACGTTTTTCATATATTTATCCTAATATAGTAATACAGATGTTTTATTTGGTTTAGTTAAAAATATATATTACTGCTGAAAAAAAGCCTAAACCGTTGAAAGAGGCCGATTGTTGTTGGAGGACAGTGTCATTGAGAAAGATTATACGATGTCTCTTCAATGATACTTACACATGTATATAAATGATAGTCCCCTCCGATGTTAGAGTAGAAGATGTATGCTCTTTGAACTCTTCTCCTAATAAAGAGAATTCTCATGGCTTGTCCCTTCTAATAAATTACCTGTCTAAATGCCCACTTATTATGAATGTTTCAATTATCGTAGTAATCTTGAGTTTCATCCCGATTCTAAGTGATTCTCATAAAGTGTGTCCATGACCCTTTACTTTAGTTTACCATCCTGAGCTATCTTGGCGTATGGGTTTGACTCTCCCAACCTGATGGCAACACCTTTTTTATAAATTGGAGAACACTCATTAAAAAAAATATAATAATCATTTTACGAAATGGTAACGAACATATACACAAAGATTTAAAACCCAAAAAGCAAAGAATCTTTTGAAGAGTTAAAAGGCGTTTGAATTTTATTTAAATAACGCAATATCATTTAAAATTCGAGTAAATAATTATAGACAATCTGGCCATGATGAAGAATCAAAGAATCAACAGGAGGAAACGTCACCCGGTGTGCAACATATAAAAAAATTATTTTACAATACCAGATCATTTTATATGTTGCACACCGGGTGAAAGATCAGTCGTGTAACATCGACGTTTCCTCCTGTTTGAGAATAAGTAATTCGTTCGCGCTTTAAATCGGGATGTCTATAGACAGCTGATGTGAAAAATCGATCGTTAATAATATGGCGTACAATAATATTTAGAGTTGAATTTAATTTGTCACCAAATAAATAATTTATCACAATTTTATTTATAATAATAACATTTCACTCTAATCATCGTTCATTCATTTCATCACTACCTTATTCTTAATGATAGCCTTTCAATTAGAAATATAGCCTAAGAATTATATGCCATCTACATTAATATGACCACAAAATAACTTCCATCTGCGGTTATAACTTCCATTTTTTGAGACATCAATATCTTTTCAATCTGCATCTTTTCTCACAACATTACTTTCAATATCATCAACGTCGGGTGCATTACCATAAATGACGTATTCATCGTTATAAATATCATCTTGATGAATTACTTCAACAGTACGTTCAGGATGAGGATTGTATACATTCAAATCATCGTTATAAACATCATCTTGATGAACTGATTCAATAGGATGAGCATTGTATACATTCAAATCATCATTATAAACATCATCTTGATGAACTGCTTCAACACGTTCAGTATGAACATCGTATACATTCAAATTATTGGAATTTTCTTTTTCATCATTCTCACTCATTTCTTCATCATCGTCTGTTAGAGAACCTTTGCTACCTTTATATTTAAGTGAACTTTTTCTAATACTACTTCTCCTTTTAAGACTTGAAGATTTAGTGACATTTCTAGAATTGTCACCTTCAATAAAACTAACTCTGACGTTTCTTTGTTTTCGTAAATACCAATTCACGATAATTAAAAGTATATAACTGCAAAAATATAACCACATGCAAATGAAGTTTATAATTCGAATTTGACATGCTAACCAACTTAAATTAGAGGAGTAATTGTAGGAGGTTGGGCATGTAAATGGGATGTTACCTATTTCTTTGAAGGTGAAATAAGTATAAATTACTTTTTTTTTTTTTTTTTTTTAATAGAGTTTAATTGAGTGAAAAAAAATATTAACGTTAATTGTTAAACAAGATAGAAGTAATCAATTTGAAATAATTAAAAACCGGCCTATACCAGGAATTATAACCCAAATACAGGATGTCAACCTTAAAAATCAAGATGTAAAAAAAAATAAAACATGTTGAAAATAAAAGTAACGTTAAACGAATCTATGTAAATGAAAAACAAGAAAAATAAATGTAAAATAATATAATAACTGATAAGTACCTTAACACAAAATCGTGTTTTCGGGTATCAAACGTGTAGCATTCAAAACATGTTATAAAATTCAATACTGTACACATTCATATTGATTGAATCGATTGAATTGGAAATAAATTTGAATAAAAAAATCTATATTGATATGACATATCTTTTTAATTTTGGATGAGAAAGAAAAGGTTACCAAGTAGAGCCCACGCTAATGCTAAATACCTAAAATAAATAAATAAATAATAAATAAATGCAGATTTTTGAATGTTAAATAAGAAAATTAAAGGCTTACGAGTACTCAGCACCTTTATTGTACGTAATCTCGCCTTGAGTAGCATCAGATACTTTAATTTTCACAGATACTATGATATTTACAAGAATACATATGAATATTTTAAATATATAATAATGACAACAGCGGTAAATTTACCAATTTATAAAAAAACTTGTTATCAAAAGAACAACAAACGAACCCACCAAGTATGGGACAAGCAAGTACCAAAAAAATATTTGTCATGATTAGCAGGTTTAACCAAATTGATGTTCTTTTTTTTTCCTCATCAATTTTGAAAAGCATCTCTTTTATCACGTACGTAAGTAGGATCGTATGGGGTCGCCGTCGGAACAATATACTATAATGATAATATATTATAGCTTAAAATGATTATGATATACGTAAAAAGCCACTTAACCTACCTGATGTACTGGTTTGGTAATACAGTTAGCAAGATGATTTTCAATAAACAAAACAGTCTCTAATATAATAAAGAGCATCACCATAAAATTTTTTAAGCAAGTGCAGCGAAAGAAGCGAAAAAATATTAAATAAATTTGTGGCTTCTTATCAATATTTGAGAATAAATATTTGAGGCTTCTCATCATGTTACTCAAAGCGGATGTTCGCTTTTTCTGCGAAATAGCCAATAACTTACATCCACACTGCATAGAATTATTTTATAGTTGCGATACTGCGACTTTCTCATCTTCCAATAGAAATTAAAAAATAATCTCTTCAGGATATCTATATTTGTATTTCGCTTCTAGAGCGTTTTAAAAATACATATAGTGATAAGATGTGACAAGCATAGATAGAATGCATTATAATCTACATTGAATTCTCAATAATCAATAACTATGCTCAGTAGTAACGAAAGATTTCTCTAATAGCTAACAATTATTTTCGAAGGTAAAATTCAACAACAGCTAATGTCATAACTAGAAATGTGCCATTTATATGATACCAAATTTTCTTCGCATATAAAAAGGGTCTGCAAGTCACATATACCACGTATAGTACTGTACGTACGTACGTACGTACGTTACATTTCTAGTCCTTACTAGTTTCGAATAAACCGAAACAGTGTATATGTTCCCATCATTCCTGAATTATGTCTATTGACGTGTCATTTCTCAATTCGTTAAATGATCCAGGTCAATTCATCATGAGACCACAACAATATAATAAACTACAGATAATGTTTAATGTTTTGCGTCATTTCACAATTTAGGTCGATTCCAAATTGACCTAAATCAGAAAAACAAAATGTTTCATAAATTTTTTTTTAAAAAATTGTATACAATAAAAAAAAAACACACACACAATAAAAGCATATAAAAAATTTTCACATTAAAAATTACATAAATTTAAAAAAGAATCTTATTAATTTTTATATTTACTATGTATATAATAAGTCACTTTTTTTGGCAAAAGCAAGTATTAGAAGAACAATTAGCCTTTTGGCAATGATAGCAATTGAAACAAATACAAAATAGACGAGATAATTTCTCTTTAACTACACTAGTGTGCGGTATTATACCTTCAATTCTCTAATAATAATTAATTTGAGCATAATTTTGCTCACTTTAACATAAATATAAATAAATTAAATACAGTCTAGGATTATACGCGATATGGAAATGATCTGCAAATATATTAGAAGGGTATTCTAAAACCCGATTTCAATTGAAAAAACAAAAGCATTTTTTATTATCTGAAAATAACCATCAGTTTTAAAAAATCCTTTAAATTTTTTTTACAAAAAGTATCCTAAGGCTATGTAGTTTAGGAATCCCTGGGGATCCCTGAGGCTTTATAAGGTGGTTTTGCACTAAATAACATAAGTGTAACAACGCAGTCAATAATATGGCCAAAATTTGTACTACGGAATTGCAGATCTTTACCAAAAAACGCAATGATTTGCATTACACAACTTTGAAAATCCCTGACTAAAATAGCATTTTTAGTAGTATGTAAGTGTAAATATGTTATTAAAATCATATTTGCTTTTAAAAAAAAATCAATTTTTTTTGACAAGTTCAAAAGAACTATATTAAGCAGTAAAATATTTGAATTTAAAAATAAATTTATAGAAAGAATACAAGCTTAATAAACAAATTAGTTTTTATTTAAATAATTATCTTAGTTAAGCACAATATTTAAAAAGTTAAAAGTTTTTTTTTGCTTAGTAAACTATATAAATTCTATACATCTGTCTATATTTATATCAACATCATACTATTATTGTTCTGATTTGTATCTAATTGCTTTATAGAAAAAAATACTAATATTATTCTAATTTATCTTGATTTATTTTATTTGATATTATTCTAGTATCTCTATAAACTAGAGAATTAAAACATAATTCTAATTTTAGTTATATACTTTTACTTCTTATATATTATTATCTAATTTGTAATACTTTTACTATAATTACTAATAATATAAAAAGATATTATAATTTAAAATATACAGTTCACTCTCATTATAATGTATTGATAGGGCTAAGAAATTCTGTCTGTTATAATGAATATCCACTATAGCATTATATAGTATAATAATAAAAATTTTAAATTGTTCTAGAGAATTACTCCGTTATAACGAGGTATCCGCTATAACGAAGTCCATTATAATGAGGGTGAACTGTATTAAATCATCAATCAACTCTTTCTGACAATCACTTGTATCAAAATTTCCAGCTAATGAAAAACAAATTTTGTTAGAGATAGTAGAAGAAGTAGACACCTTTTATATAACAGTTTGTAAGTAAAATATTTGAGGTTAGCCTTTACTATCTGGAAGACTCCTCACTTACTTTTGGCATGCAAGTCAAAAGCATTTATATACAAAATAACTGGCAAGTTAAAGGTGCTCTTGTGTTGAAAATTTTGATAGCAATTTGGTTTTTGTTTGTTAATGAAGTTATTTTGGTATTCTGGCTCCCTTAGTAAACAACAAATGAGTTTTTTACTACCTTCTATAAGGACTTTGGTTATCCTGCACTCGATTTTATCCTGTCAGCATTTTTTTACAAAATTTTTGGATTTGGCTACCTCCTCCAAATGATCAATATTGTTTACCACTTTCATTTTTAGAAGTTGCTATTGCAAATATAGTGAATTAGAAAAACAACAAACATGTTCAAAATATGTAGCAATTTTTATTATTAGATTTAATTCATGAAAGGGTTCACAGTACTTTCATTAGTATTATATGAGATATACATTATCCTGAAGTCATATGTATAATATTTTTTTTAATCTGGTATGAGTTATAATAGTACTTCATCATTTTTGGTTTTTCTTTTTTTTATCCTATCTTTTTTTTTTTTCTTTGTAGGGTTTTATGTAGTTTTTTTTGTGGTATTTGTTTAGATATTTCTTCTTTTTGGTTTTAAACTTTCCTTTTTTTTTTTTGATCTTAAAGTTTTTTCAATAAGTAGTTAGAAAGTTTTCTTTTTACTCAGAAAGTTAGGAGGAAAAGATTTAGAGTTCAAAAAAGAGGAGGCAATCATGATAGCTATAAATGCTACTCAGTGATATATTTGATTCTTTATTAGTAGGAGGGTTTAGTATGGAGAGAAAATTTTACTATAGTAGATTGCATATAGGTAATTTGGACTTTTGTTATAGAAGACTTTCATTGCAAAAAGCCAGGTGAGTCAATACTTGTAAATTAGAAGTAATATGTTTAGCCCAGTAATAAAGTTAGATCACTTATGAAATAGATATAAAATAGATATATGATTTTTATATCTAATAAAGTATTGGCATAGTTGCCAAATTTAAAATATATATATATATTAAATATAATAAAAGTCTAGTTTTTAAAAAAACTTTAACAAATAAAATTATAATAAATAAAAAAAATTAAAATAAAAAAATAAAAATAAATAAAAAAAATTTAAATAAAAAAAAAAAATAGCTACATTTAACTAGAGAGAAATTCTCTTCTCTAATTATTTTTAAAGTTAGAGTACAAATATTAAGAATTATTTTTTTTATATAAAAGTAGATATAAGGTTCTGATTTTAGTTCTTGTATGTAGATTTTTAGAAGTTCTGGGCATTTTTATTTAGAGTATCTGATCCATTTACTTAGTATATTTTTGATATAATTTTCTAGTGAAAATTAGAAATTTTTATAAAAAAATTAAAAATTTTATAGATATTTAATATTTTTATTTAGAGTTTTGATTAATAAAAAAACTTAAATAACAAATTCAAAAATATAGATTTAATTTAGAGTTAATAAATTTTAAAATAAAATTAAAGAATAGTTTATTAAATAGATTAATTTTTTTCTTTTAATATTAAGATAAGGCCTTTTGTATCTTTATTGAATAAT